CCCCTGTCCCCCCTGCTGCTGCTGCAGCTGAGCGCCCTCACCAGCGCCCCTCCACATTCCAATCACGCGTCTCTCAGCCCGCCCACCCTCCTCCCCGCTCTCCACCTTCTGCCGCAGCACCGCCTCCTCTCTCCACTTCCGCACCTCCCCCTCCAATGCCTCTTTCACACGTGTCACAACACGCAACTGCCGCTGCACCTCCCCCAGCGCCTCCCTCAGCTGCTCTGCATCGGTATTCGCTGCGACGAGTTCCTGCTCCGTGCTTCGCAGTGTGGCCCTTACCGTCTCTGCCTCCTGCTGCGCTGCCGCTGCCTGTGCTCTCGCAGCCACTGCTTCACCCTGTGCTGCCTCCACCTCACCCCTCAGCTGCTCCACTTTTCCCTCTGCAGCCTCCACCTTGCCTCTTAACAGCTCACCTTCCTCCTCTGCTCGCTCCACCTCGCCTCGCAGCTTCTCAACTTCGCCTCTGCTGCTTCCACTGCACCTCTCACTTCCCCAACCTCTGCTTTCAACCTTTCCACCTCAGCTGCAGCTGTATCCGCCCCTGCCACCGCTGCTGCCACCTTCGTCTCCTCCTCTCTCAACTGCCGCTGCAGCTCCTTGGCTCTCTCCTCTGCTGCTCTCACTGCTGCTCCTGCCTTCGCCTCCCCCTCCCCCACGCCCCGCACCACCTGCTGCTCCCTCTCCTCCACCCTCCGCTCCAGCTCCTTCTCTCTCTCCTCCGCCGCTGCCAGCCTGGCACGCAGCGACTCTGACACCGCAGCTGCCGACGCCACATCAGCAGCAGCAGCAGCAGCAGCAGCAACAGCAACACGATCAGATGCTTTTTCTCGTTCCTCCTGAAGCTCCTTCCTCAGAGCACCTAGCTCTACTGTCAGTGCAGCCACCATCCCTTGCAGCACCTCTGCCCTCCCCTCCGCCTTTGCAGCCTCAGTCCTCCCTCTCTCCACCTCCCCCACCATCCTGTCAGCCTCTTTTTCCTTCTCAGCGACCTCCCTCCTCCCCTCCTCCACCTCTCTCTCAAGCCTCTCCTTCTCACCCCTCAGCCCCTCACACTCAGATCGCACCTCCCCCAGCTGAGCCTGCACCAGCTGCACCTCCTTTTGAGCTTCTTTCACCTGCCCCTCCGCCTCACTCCGAGCCTGCATCTGCTCCCTCATTGCAGCTGCTATCCCCTCATCCTTCACCGTCAGCGCTGCCAGCTCAGCGTTACGAATTTCCAGCTCAGATTTCAGCGATTCCAGCTCATTTGTCAGCTTGCTACATATCTCCTCTTTCTCGTTCACAGCTTCTTCTTTCGCCTTTGCTTCGTCAGCAGCTGCTGCCAGCTCACGCTCTTTACTCTCGCGCTCAATCTTCATTTCTGCCAGCGCAGCATGGGCAGTTTCCAGCTCAGCCTTGACTGTTGCCAGCTCAGCAACTTGCACTTCATTAGCTGTCTTCCACATGTTTACATCCTCCACACCCACAGCCTGGTGCTGCTTCAACTCCTCCACCTCCTTTTTCAACGCTTGAATCTCTTTCTCCTGCTCCTGCTGCTGCATTTGCTGCTGCTCTTGCTGCTGCTGCTTCAACGTTTCAACCTCCTCTTTCTTCTGCTCCCTCAACACCCGCACCTCCTCCTCCCTCCGAACCAGCTCCTGCCGAGCCTCCTCAGCTTCAGCCTTCACCTTTTCCCGAGCCTCCTCAGCCTCGGCAACCGCCCGAGCCAGTTCCTCCTTCACAGCTTCGGTCCGTACCTCTGCCTCGGCAACCTTAGCAGCGAGTGCTGCTTTTTCTGCCTTCACCTCGTCCTTCTCCTGCACTTCCCTCTCGTACGCCCCCACCAGCCGATCCTGCTCTGATACCACTCGCCCATGTTCCTCCTGCAGCAGAGCATGCAGGGATTTCAGTCCCTCCATCTCTGCTGCTACCACTGCCCCTGCTGCCTTTTCCTTCTCCAAATCTCCGGTTGCTGCTGCCAGATCAGATCGCACCTTTTCCACCTCAGCATTCCGGCTTTCCAGCTCGGATAGGACGAATGCCAGCTCAGCACGGAGCGCTGCCAGGCTGGCATTTAACTCGTCAACTTCTTTGCTCCGCTCATCCCTCTCCTTTCTCAACTCTTCCACTTCCCTCTCCACCTCCCCTGCTCTCTCCCTCACACTCACCACCTCCTCTTCCATCCTCACCCTCTCCCCCTTCACTCTCTCCACTTCCCCCTCCACCTCCCTCACTCTCTCCTCAAGCTTCTCCTTTTCCCCAACAGCCTCTCTCACTCTCTCCTCCATCTTCTCTTTCTCCCCTCCCACCTCCCTCACTCTCTCTTCAGCCGCAGCCACCTTCCCCTGCTCCTCCCCAATCACCCTATTCACTGTCGCGGCCAACTCCTCCTCTCTCACACTCACTTCTTCCATCTCCTTTCTCACTCTCTCCATCTCCTGCTGCAACTCCACCACCTCACTCTCCCTCTCTCTCACCTCCCTCCTAAGCTCCTCAATCCGCCCCTCCCTCCCCTTCACCTCCCTCTCTAGCAACTCAACATCGGTTTTGCTCCGCTCGGCCTCTCCCTTCCACCGCCCCACCTCCTCCCACGCCTCTGCAGCTTGCCTCATGGCTGTTTCTGCTCGTCCCTTTTCCCCGTCCCCCACGCTCCTAGCCTCCACCACCCCTCGCTTCGCCTCCTCCAATTCCCTCTGAGCATCTCTCAGTTGTACCTGCACCACTTGCACCTCCCTCTCCGCCGCCTCCTGCTTTTTCCTTGCCGCCTCACTCTCAGCCTTTGCAGCTGACAGCGCGGCTGACACAGCTGCCACCTCACCCATCATCACCGCCAGCTCAGCTTGCATCTTGTCTGCGTCAGCAGCCACCTTCTCTGCTTCCTGCTTCCTCACCTCTCCTTCTGCCACTGCCTCCCTATGCTTCTCCTCCCAAACCCTCTGCGCCTCTTCCCGAGCCTCAGCCTTGGCTGTCTGCCGAGCCACTTCTTCCCGAAGCTGATCAGCCTCGGACCGAGCCAACCTGGCCTCTTCCCTCACCCCCGCCACCTCTACAGTTGCCAATTGAGCAGCCGCCAGCGAAGCTGCCAGCTCAGCCTCTACCTTTGCCAGCTTGGCACTGACCCGGCTCATCCCCTCTTCCAGCTCAGTACACTTCCCCTTCCATCCGACAACCTCCCTCTCTGCCTCACTCACTCTCTCTTGCAACCCCTCCACCTCTCTCTTCTTCTCCTCCTCTCTCCCTCGCGCCTCCTCCACATCCCTCTGCACCCCCTCCAACCGCACCACCACACCGGCATGTTTGACCCTCTCCTCCTCCCTCTCCCTCATCACCTCCTCCCACCTTCCACGCAGTTCCTTCACCTCCTCCTCTAGCTTCGTGTGTGCGTTTCCTAAAGCCTTCTTCTCGCCCCCGATCCCTGCAAGCTGCTCCTTAAGCCTCGCTACTTCCTCCTTTGCCTCCCTGTGTTCTTCTCTTATCCCCTCCAGGCCCTTCCGTGTCTCTCTGTGCTGCTCTTTCTCCTTCTCCAACTCTTTCCTCACCCCATCCAGCTCAACCCCCTTTGAGTCCACCTCAGCTTTCAGCCGTGCCACCTCATCCACACGCTTCGCCACATCAGCCTGCGCCGCTGCCAGCTTCAGCACCAGCCTCCTCCAATCGCTTCTCCAGCTGCCCCACCCTCTCGCCCATCTCTTCCCTCCCCTTCCTCACCTCCTCCATCTCCCTCTCTAACCCCCTCACTCTCTCCTCCCCCACCTCCACCTTCCCCTTCTCCACCCACAGAGCCTCCTTAATCTCATCCCTCTCCATCCCCCTCTCCTCCCCATCCCTCTCTGCCGCCTCTCTCCCCTTCCCTGCCTCTTCCACTCGCACCAGCAGCTCCGCCTCCTTCCTGGAAGCTTCCACCTTTGCTGCTTCCAGCTGTCCTCTCAGCTCCTCCTCTCTCTTCCTCGCCTCCTCCCTCTCCCCTCTCACTGCCTCCAGCTCCCCCTCATTCGTTCCAAGTCCCTCTCCCTCTCTGCCAATTTCTCCCTCAGTCCCTCCATCTCCCTGTTTAACTCCTCCAACTCACCCTTCACCACCCTCACTTCCTCACACTTCTCCTCCACTTCCCTGCTCCTCTCTTCACCCTCTTTCCTCCTCTCCTCACACTCCCCCTTCACCCTCTCAACCTCCTCAGTCATCCTCTTCACTTCACCCTCAGCCTCCCCTCTCTTCTCCTCCAGCTGCTCCTGTGCTCCCCTCAACTCCTCCACCTCACTCCTCCGCTCCTCCCTCTCCCTCTCCACCTCCTCCTCCAACCTCCTCACCTCCTCCTCTGCTTTCCTCCTCTCCCTCTCCTCCTCCTCCCTCGCCCTCTCCACCTCCTCCCTTGCCTTTCTCACTTCCCCCTCCCGCGTCTCAGCCTCCTCTCTTTTCTTCCTACTCTCCTCCAACTCACTCCTCAACGCACCCAGCTGTCTCTCCACCTCTTCTTCCCTCTCAGCCACCTCCCTCTCATGCCTCTCCTTCATCTCCCCCATCTCCCTCTCCCTCTCCCTCCCCTCCTCCCTCACTCTCTCCACCTCACTTACCACCTTCTCCAGTTCCCCCTGCACCTTCCCAAGCTCCTCCCGAGCCTCCAGCATCTGCTGCCGAGCCTCGTCCGCAGCCTTCGCAGAGACCTCCGCCTGCCGAGCCTTCTCCTCCATCTCGCCTCTCATAGCCTCCACAGCAGCGCCCATGGCTCCATGACTCACCACCAACGTATCAAACGCAACCTCCTTGCTCCTATACTGCACCCGCAGTGCCTCCAGCTCCCCCTGCGTTCTCCCATGCTCTTCTCTCAACTCTCCCAGCTGTTTCTCCTTCTCTTCCTTCTCCTCCCTCACTCTCTTGGCTATCTTCGCCTCCTCCTCCCTCTCCGCCTCTGCCCCTGCCAACAGCCGTCCAGTCTCGTCCCTCCCTGCTTTCAACGCCTCCGCTTCTCCCTCCAACCGCTCTACATCCTTCTTCAGTCCCTCACACACACCCTGCACCTCCTCCCTAGCCTTCTTCTCCGCCTCTCTCTCCTCCCGTACTGCCTCCAACCTCCCCTCTACCTCTGCTCGCTCCCTCCTCTCTCTCTCCACCTCCCCCTCCAGTTCCTCCCTCATCCTCTTCTCCTCCTCCATCTTCCCCCCCCACTTCGCTTTCTCCATGTCTAACCTCTCCGCCCGCTCCCTCGCCTCCTTCCCTTCCTTCCTCTCCCTCTCCCTCGCCTCCTTCTCCTCCTCAAGCTCCTTACACACACTCTCATGCCGACCTCTCAGTGAATCCAAATCCCCCAAAACCACCTCCTGCATGGCCCTAAGCTCAACCACTTGCACCTCTCCCTCTGCCTGCCTAGCTCTTAAATACTTACCCTCTTCCACCGCCGCTTTAAAGGACTCTCTTAGCAGCACCAGCTCCTTCATCGCCCCCTCATGGGCGGCATCCAGCGTCTGTAGTGCAGACTGCAGCGGGGCGATTCGCTCCTCCTGCTGCCGCTCCAAGGCGCTCCGCACGGCTGCCTCTCGCTTCACCGCCTCCTCCTCCTCCACGCGTCGCCGCAGCGCCTCCTTCTCCTCCTCGAACCCAGCGATCTCTGCTTCTGCTGCCGTTAACGTTGCCTGGCACAGGGGGGAACGGGAAGTGGGATGGGAGGAGAGTGTAAATACAGTTTGATGAGGCGCCTCATGAACACTTCCCCGCCTCCTCCTCCTCCACCCGCCGCCGCAGCGCCTCCTTCTCCTCGAACCCAGCGATCTCTGCTTCTGCTGCCGTTAACGTTGCCTGGCAAGGCGGGTGGGTGGATGGGAGCAGAGTGTGTAGTGTGGGTGGGTTGGGAGGGGCCCCATGCACTCCAGAAAACACTACACTCAGAAAGCCACGTGGCTCATCTGCAGCCCGCCACGTGGCTAACTCACCCGCAGCCAATCACGTATCTCTCTCACCTGCAGCCCCTTGGCCTTGTGTTCGAGCGTCACGTTGCTCTCCTGCAGCATGCCACGTGTCCTCCCTGCAGTACGCCACGTGTCTCACCTGCAGCCCCTTGGCCTTGTGCTCCAGAGTCACGTTGCTCTCCTGCAGCGCTTTGAGTCGCGCCGTCTTCTCGTTGTGCTTCGCCCGCAGCGCCGCCAGCTCATAGTTGGTCGCCTCGAGACTCTCCTCCACCTGCTTCAGCCGCCCCGCCTGCTCCGCGCTCAGCTGGTGGCGGGAAGGGGCGCGGGTGGTGGTTGGAGGGGGGGAAGGGAGAAGAGTCGGAAGAGGAGCTGTGAGGCGGAATGGGCAGGGGGTCAGCTCGTAGTTGGTCGCCTCGAGGCTCTCCTCTACCTGCTTCAACCGCCCCGCCTGCTCCGCGCTCAGCTGGTGCAGAAAGGTGGGGGTGCGGGGTTCAGAGAGCAACGAGCGTGATGCGAGCAAAGACACGGGCGGTTTCCCACTCTGCCTGCTAAAAAGGATTCTCCCGAGTATTCTTCCCATCAATACCTGCGTGTGCGCCGCAGCCGCATGACTCGCCGTCCCCTGCTCCCTCCCCCCTGCCCCTCCGCCGCCCCCCCGCTCGTCTGCACCGGCTGCAGCCTTGCTGACGTCAGGTTGTGCGGAATGGGAAGGGCGGGGCGCGGCCTGCCCGGGGGTGGTGAGAATGGTGCGCGCGGGGACGGGGGAAGGAGACGCGGAACGCGCGTTCGGCGGAAGTGCGCCGCTGGGAGGATTCCCCTTGTCCCGCTGGACGGGAAGCGCCAGCGGGGAGGGGGAGCGGAGCGCCTGCTGCGCGGCGGAAAGCGGGGAATCCTCCGCCTGTTTCCCGCCGACTTGTCCGGAGGGCTGGTCCCTAGCCGTGACGGCCTGCAGCTTGCTGACGTAGGCGGCGGCGGACGGCGCGGCGGCGGCCTTGCCGAACATGCTCTTCAGCTCCCGCACGGACCGCGCACTGCCTCCGCCGCTCCCGCCGCTCCCCCCGCCACCGCCGCTGCTGGCCATGGCGGCGCGGTAGCTTAAGAACGAGTAAGCGCGCCAATGTGGGTTCGGGAGAGCGCGATCCGCGCGAAAGCGACGGCAGGCGGAATGCGCCGGATCTGGCGCTTAAAAGCGGGAGTACGCTGAAGCGGTGATCGGGAAGTGCCTACGGCGACAGGGAGCACGTAATAACGAGGAGGACACGACAAACCACGTGGCTCGTCGCGTCGCACGTAGATCTCGCAGCGTGGCGAACCCTAAGAATGCCGAAGCTACGCGAGGAACGCACCGCGCAGAAGCGAATAATGCCCTCTTCGCAACATAAAAGTAACGCGCGCACTAAGAGTTGGGCTAAATTGCACCGCTTGGGAGCTTAGTGTGAGGAAAAACATAGATGCTAACTTACGCGGCGCGGAGTCAAAACTGTGCAGCCGTGCTCCACATGACTACAGTAGTATGGGGCGCATGGATACACTCATCTGCACCAGCCACGGCCCTCACGGGCTGACATTGGTATCTGCGGAGGTAGCACCACGGTTCTGTATGTTGCGCTGCGTTTGAAAGCGGTGAAGTAATGCCCAAAGGTACATAGATGAATGACCGTGGCACCCTTCCCCGAAGTGGGTGCGACGTGCACGGTTGTCCAATCAGCGTGTTCGGAAGTGCTCGATTTCGACAGACTAGCTATAGTAATTCAGCTCCCCTACTACGCCATTTGTACAGCAGCAGCATTGGGTCATCTAAGTTATGAACGGATCTGATTAGACGTGAAATATACGTAAGAAAAATTCCTTCTCAAAGGCTGGGCGTAGCTTTACACACTAGCCGTGTCAGGGCATTCGGTGCTTTGATTCCAACTCAATTCAGTGGGTCTTTGTTCAGAGCTTCTTGTTTGTGTGCGAAGTTCATTATTTTGCTGTGTGAATACCGGTGGTTGTCATGAATGCTGGTTGGTTGGTAGGCTGGTTGGCTGCATACTTGGCTGGATGGTTGTTTTGGCGGGGTATTTGGCTGGTGGGCTTGTTCAGTACCTGTGCATGCAAGCTGCATGCTGCTTGTGTGTGGTGCGTGCCCTGCAGCTCCACCTTCTCATCACGGTGCGTGCCTCTCATGCCCGCTCCACCTCTCTCATAGTCCTGCTGATTGCACTCTGTCCTGCTTGGGTTGTGCCCAAACAGGCACCTTCCAGACCCCACCCACCTATTCTACAACATGCATGCAGGCCCATCCCAGCACAGCACAACACATCTACCTAAGCACAGCTAGACACGACTAAGCCCAGTGAAGCACGACTAAGCACAGCAGCAGTTTGTCTTGACCTCTTGGTGGTAAACCGCCATACTGCCTCGGCCCACATGTCTGCTACCCGCCTCGCCGTGAACATCACCACAAGAGCCACTTATGAGATATGTAAGAAAGAGGAATTGGAGCAGGGGGGCACTTGCAAGCTGCAAAAGCGCACAACACCACACAAGTGAAGCTGTTAAAAGGCACCAAGTGAGAAATGTATGTTAGCAACTTCCACCCCAGAATCTCCCACATGTACCATGTAGAATAAGCAGCAGTGCTGATGGTGCCACTGCTTCCGCTGCAGTTGTTGCCAGAAGCAGCAATGCGACAAGTAGAGGGGAGGAAGGGGGGGAAGAGAGAACGAGCAAATAAGGAAAAGGATGAAGGGCGACGATTAAAGCCTAGACAAGAACACAACCACTACCAGGCAACCACCACACAGAGGGAACCCGGACGCACATGGGGAAGTTGCAATAACGTGTCCATTGCTGAAGTTGAAACCCAGCAAGCACCCTCTGGCACGTACCGTGTTCCAGCTAAGTGCTTCCTCCTCCTTGGCGAAACCTGCGGCTCCTCAGTCACGCCTTCAGCCCAAGCAGCACACTGCGGCGGCCCGTGCTCCAGCCTCCAGGCGAGCTTCTCCATGTTGCTCGTGGTGTGCTGTTGATATCTGCAATGGGAGGGGTCTGTGGATTCTGAGTGGAGCCAAAGCCAACCAGTGGCGGGATTTCAATAGAGAAAGCAGTGAAAGTGATGAGAGCTTGGCATCACAAAGGAAAAAGCGTTCAGAGGAAAAACATACTTGGCTGAAAAGGGAAGGCGACGTTGGTACTGCTGCTACAACTCAACAGTGCTGCTGCATTCACTAACACCTCTGCTGTGTCTCAGGTAGCAACGAAGCCCACACATCGGTCTCCCCCTGTCCACTCCCTGCCATTCCCCTCCGTCTCGTAAGCCGTAAAGCACACACTAGCGATGGGAGAGGCACACGCAGACAGAAGCAGAGCAACAAGGGAGGGTTAGAAGCAGCAAGAGGGGGCGAGTGACGGAGGCAAGGACAACAGACACGACCGTTGCCTCTGCGCGGCGACGCTCTAGGACTCACTACACGGCCCCCTGGCAAGCACCCCCTGGCACGTACCACGCTCCGCCAGTCACTCTCCCAGTCCTGCTCCATGCCTTCACTTCCCCACTCCTGCCGCCATTGGTCTCCGACTTGCAGGCCACGAGGCACACACACACACACGGGGAGAGAGAGGCACACACACAGAAGCAGCACAATACAGGAGGGTTAGAAGCAGCAGGTGGCGAGTGGTAGACACGACTCTTGCCTCTGCGCGGCGACGCTCTATGACTCATTACACTGCCCCCCCTGCAAGCACCCCCTGGCACGTACCATGCTCCGTCTGCCGCTGTGCCACTTGGCTGCACTGCCTCCTGCACCACGCCTGCGTGTTGCTCCATGTTGCTCCCTTGCTGCTGCACCAAGCCATCGCCCCAACCAGCGCAAAGCCTTCGCCCCAACCAGCGCCAAGCCTTCGCCCCAACCAGCGCCAAGCCTTCGCCCCAACCAGCGCCAAGCCTTCGCCCCAAGCCTTGCTGCTGTGCGTAATCCAGGTTGCTCGTCGTCCCCTTCTGCTGCTACAGGTGTTACTCTCGTCATGACCACCACCGCGCCGCTGCAAAGAAGAGGAGACGAGAGGAGAGGAGGGGTTAGAGAGTTGAGAAGAGTGGCATGAACGCACGGCAGCACAGCAGCAAAGACTCTTGAGCACCGTGGGAAAAGTGGTAGACAAGGGAGCACAGAATGCAGGAACATGTAGGGTGAAACGTGAAGTGGACACTGCTTGACCTGATCCACTCACTATCTCTCGTGTGCTCGCCATGCCACTGCACACGCTGCAGCCGCTGGTGACCCCTGAGTTGCTGTAGCCCGTGCCGCCCGTGAGTGCTGGAGGTGAGGGGAGAAGGGATGGCAAGGAAGAGGAAGAGAGGCGTGAGGATGTGAAACATCTTCACTTCACTCCAAGTTACCTCTTTCTTGGATGAGGTAGAATCGTGTTGTTCCCACTGATGGGCAGGCAGGTTCACAAAAAGAGCAATCCGCCACACTCCAGAGCTTGAAGGCTGAGAGGATCACTCACAGGCATGCAAACACGCACACACACACATGCACGCCCCCACCCCCCTTCCCTCCTTTCCCCCACACGCACATGCACAGGCCCTGTCCACTCGCTGCCATTGTTGTCCGTCTCGCAGGCCACGAGGCACACACACACACACACACACATGGGGAGAGAAACACACACATACAAGAGGGTTAGAAGCAGAAGGTGGCGACTGTAAGCAACAGATACGACTCTTGCCTCTGCGCGGCGACACCCTATGACAATTCACGACCCCCCTGCATCATGCGCTGATGCTGATGCTGATGCTGATGCGCTGATGCTGATGCTGATGCTGATGCTGATGCGCTGATGCTGATGCGATGATGCTGATGCGCATGCTGATGCGCTGATGCTGATGCTGATGCTGATGCTGATGCGCTGATGCTGATGCTGATGCGATGATGCTGATGCGCTGATGCTGATGCTGATGCTGATGCGCTGATGCTGATGCGCTGATGCTGATGCTGATGCTATGATGCTGATGCTGATGCGCTGATGCTGATGCGCTGATGCTGATGTGCTGATGCTGATGCTGATGCGCTGATGCTGATGCTGATGCGCTGATGCTGATGCGCTGATGCTGATGCGCTGATGCTGATGCGCTGATGCTGATGCGCTGATGCTGATGCTGATGCTGATGCGCTGATGCGCTGATGCTGATGTGCTGATGCTGATGCTGATGCGCTGATGATGATGCGCTGATGTTTATGCTGACGCGCAGATGCTGATGCTGATGCGCTGATGCTGATGCTGATGCTGATGCGCTGATGCTGATGCTGATGCTGATGCTGATGCGCTGATGCTGATGCTGATGCTGATGCTGATGCTGATGCGCTGATGCTGATGCTGATGCTGATGCAGATGCTGATGCAGATGCTGATGCTGATGCAGATGCTGATGCTGATGCAGATGCTGATGCAGATGCTGATGCGCTGATGCTGATGCTGATGCTGATGCTGATGCCGATGCTGATGCTGATGCTGATGCTGATGCGCTGATGCTGATGCTGATGCTGATGCTGATGCGGTGATGCTGAGAGGAGGGGTCTGGGAGCACACTTGCAAAGACTCGTGAGCACCATCGGAAAATGTTAGACCGAAGAAAACGGAACACAGAAAACAGGAAGATAGTGAAAATTGAAAAGTGAAGTGGTGAACTGCTTGACCTGGTTCGCCCAGTCTGCCGCTTTGCCACTCGGCCGCTCTGCCTCCGACACCACGCAGCGCCAAGCCTTCGCCCCAAGCAGCGCCAAGCCTTCGCCCCAAGCAGCGCCCCAAGCCTTCGCCCCAAGCAGCGCCACTCACAGCTTCTTGTATGCTCGCCATGATGCCACGCTGAGCCACTCACAGACGCTCACAGACGCTCACAGACGCTGCAGCCACTGGCGTCCACTCGCTGCCAATCCCGTCCGTCTCGCAGGCCGTGAGGCACACACACACGCATGGGGAGAGAGACAGCCACACAGACGCAGCACAACAAGGGAGGTCAGAAGCAGCAGGAGGAGAGTGGCGGAAGCAAGGGCAACAGACACGACACTTGCCTCTGCGCAGCGACACACTACGACTCAATTCACGCCCCCCCTGCAAGCGCCCCCTGGCACATACCACGCTCTATCCGGTGCTCTCCCACTCCTGTGCCACGCCTTCTCTTGAGGCGTCCATGGTTGCCATTGCTCTCCGTCTCGCAGTCCCACGAGGCACACACACACACACACACACATATGGGGAGAGAGAGAGACACACACATGGGGAGAGAGAGAGACACACACACATGGGGAGAGAGAGACACACACACGGGGAGAGAGACACACACACATGGGGAGAGAGAGACACACACATGGGGAGAGAGAGACACACACATGGGGAGAGAGAGACACACTCATAGAAGAAGGTTAGAAGTTGTGGTGGTGATTGGTGGACCCGCGAGCAACAGACACGACTCTTGCCTCTGTGCGGCGACACCTTATGACAGTTCACGGCCCCCCTGCAAGCACCCCCTGGCACGTACCATGCTCCCTTCGCTGCTCTCCCACTCCCGCGCCACGCCTTCTCTTCAGGCGTGCTGCTCCATGTGTGGTGGACTCACAACTCCATGTGTGCTCGCCTCGCCATCATCCTGGCCAGGGAAGGGGGAGCGAGGCGAGGGAATCATGTTAACTGCACACAGCAAGACAAGAGAACGAGCCACATAGACTTGGATAACCAACAAATATAGCGAACCTGGTTGCGATACGATAAGCTGCACTCACCCCTCCTTTTTCTGCTGCAGCCACCACTGCAGCTGCCATTGATGTCGCAACTGCAGCTGCCATTGATGTCGCAACTGCAGCTGCCATTGATGTCGCAAATGCAGCTGCCATTGATGTCGCAACTGCAGCTGCCATTGATGTCGCAACTGCAGCTGCCATTGATGTCGCAACTGCAGCTGCCACCACTGCAGCTGCCATTGATGTCGCAACTGACGCTGCCACCACTGGCACCGCTGCTGCCCATGTGGCTGCTTCTGGACAGAAGGTGTCTCACTCCTCCACTGCTGCTGCTGCCACCAGCGCTGCTGTTGCCACCACTGCTGCTGCTGCCAATGCGGCTGCCCACTGCGCTCGCTCTGGATAAAAGCTGATGCTCGTCTGGTGATGAAAGGGCGGAGATTGAGGAAAGCAGACGGCAGGAGTGGAGAGGTTTGGGAGCTGAGAGGATATCTTGCAAGACATGTGGGCACCACCGTGAGGAGACAGTAGACATGACCGAACGGCGAACGCAAGAAAATGGCAAATGGTAAAGCAGTGTACTGGTTAATCTGATGGACTCACAACTCCTTGTGTGCTCGCCATCATCCCGCACCTGCTGCAGCCACTGGTGATCACCACCCCTTCGAGTGCTGGAGCCTGGAGGTGAGGGGAGGAAGGAAGGCAAGGAAGAGAAAGCGAGGCTTGAGCAAGAAGAGATAAGTGAGTGGATGAGAGACCGAGCCGAAGCGAGTGGATGAGAGGACGAGTAGAAGGAGTGGATGAGATGGCAGACGAAGGCTGGAGAAGGGACTGAGATAGAATGCCATGCATGGTGCATTTGAACTCCCAATTACCTCTTGACGTGAAGAAACTTAGCAGGAGAATCAAGGCGCCGTTTCTACTTGCTGGATGGTTGCCTCTCGTCCATTCCCTGTCTGCTCCCTCCCCCTCCGTCTCGCAGGACATGAGGCACACACACGCATGAGGAGAGAGACAGCCACACAGAAGCGATGCAACAAGGGAGGATTAGAAGCAGCAGGAGAGGAGGCGAATGGTGGAGGCAAAGGCAACAGACACGACTCTTGCCTCTGCGCGGCAACGCCCTACGACTCACTTCACGCCCCTCCGGCAAGCACCCCCTGGCATGTACCATGCTCTGCCTGCCAGAGTGCAACTCCAAGCTGCGCCAAGCCTTCGTTCCAAGCAGCGCCCTGCCGCTGCCTGTGCTCCCGGTCGCTCCGTTGATGCTGCTGCCACCATTGCTGCCGTCGCAACCACCGGTCGCTGCAGGGAGGAGGAGAGGACAGGAGAGGAGAGGTTAGGGAGCTGAGAAGAGTGGCATGATCATCTGACACAGAAAGCAGGAAGATTGAAGATTGAAAAGTGAAAATTGAAGCGGGGAACTGCTTGACCTGATCCACTCACAACCGCTTGTGTGCTCGCCATCATCCTGCAATTTGCTGCAGCCTGCCCACTCGCTCACTCGCCCACTCGCCGCCTCCCCGTCCGTCTCGCATGGGAAGAGAGAGAGACACGCATGGGAAGAGAGAGAGACACACACAGAAGCGGCACGACAAGAGAGGGTTAGGAGCAGCAGGAGAGGAGGCGAGTGGTGGAGGCAAAGGCAACAGACACGACACTTGCCTCTGCGCGGCGACACTTCACGCCCCCCCCTGCAAGCACCCCCTGGCACGTACCACTCCTGCACCATGCCTTCACTCCAGACGTGCTGTTCCAGGTTGCTCCCCTTTCTCCCCTTTCACCTCGCAGGACGGTTGTCTCCCATGCGAGCCAGCAGCGGCAGCGGTGTCGACTCCCCGTCCGCTCGCTGCGATTCCTGTCCGCCTCGCAGGCCATGAGGCACACACACGCAGGGGGAGAGGGACACACACACACACACAGGCGGTGCAACAAGTGATGGTCAGAAACAGCAGGAGGCGAGTGGCGGAGGCAAGAGCAAGCGACACGACTCTTGCCTCTGCGCGGCGACACACTGCCCCCCACCCAAGCACCCCCTGGCACGTACCACGCTCCAGCTGTGTGTTTTCTCCTCCTTGGCAGAGCCTGCCGCTCCTTCGCCACGCCTTCACCCCCAAGCGATACCCCGCTGATGCGACCAGCAGCTCACATAGCTGGACCTGGAGATAAGAGCGAAGCCTAAAAGATCTGCTGGTGAAGCTGATAAGAATGGAGGAGAATGGGTGAGGAGATGCCATGGGAATCCCTAGCTTCAACTGATGGCGGCTAAGTGGTCGAATTCTAGCCACTCACGTTCTATTCCATGCAATTCGTTTCCCTCACTAACCAATCTGGGGTGAGTGAGCAGGAACTCAGAAGGGGCGAGGCGAGGTTTGGATGATTGAGGAGTAGTGGGCATTGGTGACCGAGGCAGTTGCCGAATTTGTCAGAGCAAAAGTTTGAAAAATTCGGAGGGAAACTGAAGGTTTGGTGCCAGATCAAACTAGGTTCGGACAGAATGCAAAAAATATTTGATTTTGAAAGTATGTATAAGGAAAATCACTTTCCTTACTTCGCATCCCTGCTCAACGCGTACATCACTGTAGCGCCTCAGTCAGCACCGTTACCACTCGCGATCCTCGCATCGACAATCACCCCGCCATTTTCGCACATCGCACCCCGACCTCACGGCTCGGCTGGTAACCCGCGCTCCGGGCCTCCGCTTCGACATTTTCCAAACCTCAGTCCCAGGCTCGTCGAGCGACAACCACAGTCCATTACCGTTACCACTGTAGTTTCGCTATATATTCTTCGCTCATGCCTTCGTGTGAAGTAAAGAAAACAGGAATGAATGACTAAGGAAAGATTGGGTACAAATACAACCCTAGAAACCCTGTACCCCATATGTGCTACCCCACTATAGCCTACAGCAACTATGTCATATAAATCTGACACACCCCCATAGGCAAAGTGGGGGAGAACAAGGGGTCACAAGACCAGTCAAGCAAAGCAAAGCAAGCTCAGGGTGGATCACAAAGTCACCACACAGTCCGAGCACAAGAGTAGGGCCAGAGGCCAGTTCACATGCAGGAGTACAGACATATATATAAACTAGACAAACAAGAGCAGGCATATATATATGTCACAGTACAAGTGAAGTCAAGAGGAGAGCAAGTGAGGCAAGACAGGCACAAGACCCAGCTGGGTGCAAAAGCGCTGATGGTCACAAGGCGCGAGTGCCTTGGTGAACACATCAGCAGTGTTGGCCTCAGAGGCCACGTACGCAAGTCGCAACTGACCACGCTGCTGCAGCTCACAAGCAAGGAAGTAGCGGAGAGCAATGTGCTTCGTTCTGTGCTCCAAGCGCTGCTCTCGACACAAGGCCAGCATAGCCTTGTTGTCTACGTACAGCACTGGAGGAGAACGAGGCGGCTCTCCAAGGTCAGTCAGCAGGTAGGTGAGCCAGCGAAGCTCCTGTGCAGCCATGGCCCCGGCGTAGATCTCAGCCTCACAACTGGAGCCGAGAACCGAAGACGAGCGAGTAGACCGCCACGAGACAGAGCCGGAACCAAGGCTGAAGGTGTAACCCTGTGACGGCCGCTGCGTAGCCTGGTCGTCAGCCCAAGAAGCGTCCGCGTGGCCGGTAAGGACCACTGGACTCCGCCCTCCAAGCACTAGCCCCATGCCCGACGTACTGCACAGGTAGCGCAATACCCTCTTGGCTGCAGCCATGTGCTCCGGTCTGTGTCTCCCAGGAGCAACATAGCGTGCAAGAATGCTCAGAGGGTATGCAAGGTCAGGTCGTGTGCAGGTCATCAGGTACATGAGGCAGCCAACAAGCTCTGCATACGGACCACTCGACTCTACGGACTCATCCGAAGGCAGAGCTGAGAGTGAGTGGCGAGTAGGCAGAGGAGTGGCCTGAGGCGAGGAGTACGTGAAGCCGAAGCGCTGAAGGACCTGCTGCACCATGTGTGACTGAGTCAAGGTAATGGTGCGGCGTGCTCTGTCCCGAGTGATCTGCAAGCCAAGGTAGCTGCGCAGTTCACCCAGGTCTGTGCACGTGTGTCTCTTCAGCAGCTCGGACTTCACGTAGGCGAGTCCAGCAGTGTCCGCTGTGGCAAAGACCAAGTCGTCGACGTACACGAGGATGTAGAACGGCGGCAGGGAAGTGTCGGTGCGAAGAAACAGCGACGGGTCAGCAGTAGAAGGAGCAAACCCAAGAGCCGCAAGCGTAGTCCTCAGTGTGTCGTGCCACTCACGCGGTGCCTGGCGGAGACCGTAGACTGGCCGTCGGAGGCTCCACTGGGTGCCAGGAGGGAAAGTCCCAGTGAAGCCAGGTGGACGGCGAAGCCAGATCTCCTCGTGCAGGCTACCCTGCAAGAACGCAGTGCTGAAGTCGAGAGAGTGAAGCTCGTAGTCGCGCTGAGCGGCTATGTGCAGCAGCACCCGAAGAGTAGTCATCTTCGGGGTGGGAGAGAAGGTCTGAAAGTAGTCAACTCCCTGCCGCTGACTGAAGCCACGAGCAACGTACCGTGCCTTGAAGACAGGTGGAGAGCCCGGCGGCCGCCTCACCCTGAAGATCCACATGCCACTGACGATGTTCGCCCCAGGAGGGGGAACCGCGTCAACGTAGGTGCCTGTGGACTTCCAGGAAGCCATCTCTGCATCCATAGCTGCCTGCCACTGAGAGGAGTAGGGACCCTCTACGGCCTCCGCGTAAGAACGCGGAGTCGGGATGTCTAGTGCATCCGGGTCTCCCTCAGGGGCAAGCAGTACAGACGCGAGATGAGGTGAAGCAGCCGCTAGACACTGTAACTCCTCCTGCCTGTCCTCTAGGACGTCCGTGCCAAGAGCACACTCACCCCCGACGGACGGAGGACAGACAGACGCAGACTCAGCAACAAGACTAGCAGCGTAGTCGAGACGACAGCGAGCAGCAAAGTCGACGAGCTCAGTGACTAGAGCAGACGCAGCAGTGGACTCAAAAGAGGGGTCAGTGACGACAGTAGCAAGCAGACGCGTGACAGTGGGACTGGCAGCACGAAGAGAGTCCGACTCAGGGTCGGCAAGCGCAGGAAGAGAGGACTCAGGAGGAGAAGGCAAAGGGGCACGCAGAGGAGCAGTGGACGGACGCAGAGACATCCGGTGCGTGCCAGGGACAGGAGGAGGACGCTGACGCGAACTGCGACCACTAGCGCGAGCAGCACGAACAGGCGACGCGGGACGAGACGCAGGCTCACGACGCTCAGCAAGACCTCCAGTAGGACCAGTGTAAGGAGAGGGAGCAGGCAGTGGAGAGGAAGGCTCCAGTAGGGACTGCGACTGGACAGGCGGTGGACCCTCTACTGGAGGAGAAAGACCAAGAACCTGCTGCAGGAGCGGAACGAAGTACGGCCGAGGCCGCGCGGCAGCTCCAGACTCAGCAGGGACAGCACCAGCACCCTCAGCGACAGCACCAGCGCCACCCACACCTCCAGCGGCAGGACCAACAGCAGCAGGCTCAGCACGAACGCCCTCAGCAGCTCCAGCTCCAGGAGGACCCGCAGGTCCAGTAGCTCCGGGACCGGCAGCACCCGCACCCTCGACGGTCGAAGAAGCTCCAGCTCCAGCTCCAGCAGCACCTCCAGACTCAGCAGCACGCCTCCAGCGGCGAGCAAACCACTCGCGCAGCTCCTGTGGAGAGAGGGGCTCCCGGCGAGACGCAGCAGCAGGAGAAACCCCAGGCTCAGCAGCTCCAGACGCAGCACCCCCAGGCTCAGCAGCTCCCAGCTCAGCACCCCCAGGCTCAGCAGCTCCCGACCCAGCACCCCCAGACCCAGCACCTCCAGGCACAGCACCCCCCGGCTCAGCACCCCCAGGCTCCGCACCCACCGCAGTAGCACCCTCAGGCCCAGCACCCCCAGCAGTAGCACCCCCAGGCTCAGCACCCCCGCGCACAGTACCCCCAGAGTCAGCACCCCCAGGCTCAGCACCCGCAGCAGCACCAGAGTCACCAGTAACCTCGACCGGGTCAACGGCGTCTACCTGGGACACACCTGAGGGGGGAGGGGGTCTACCGGGGGGGGAACCGGCACAAGGAAGTCCGGGGGAGGGGGGAGGGAAGGAGTGCGGTAGGGGAAGAGACGGTAGAAGGGGACTGACTCGTCGAACGTGACGTCCTGGGAGGACAGAACACGACGAGAGGAGGGGTGGTAAAACTGCCACCCTGGGGCGTCAGTGGGGAAGCCAAGGAAGACACAGGGAGCAGCACGAGGGGACAGCTTGTCCGCAGACAAGTCGCGGACAAACGCCCGAGATCCCCAGACACGGAACACAGACGCATCGCCAACCTTCCCCGTCCACAGCAAGACTGGGGACATCGCAGGCCGAGAGACCCGGGGGTGAAGGTTGAGCTGATGCGCCGCGTACCTCACCGCAAACGGCCACAGAAAATGGGGGGCAGCCGCATGCATCATGGACGTACGAGCGACATCCATGACCATGCCAATGCGGCGCTCAGCAATCCCATTTTGCTGTGGTGAGTCCGGAAGCGTGAAGGTCTGGCGGATCCCCCGTGCACGACAGTAGTCTCGCAGAAGGCGAGAAGAGAACTCTCCGCCTCTGTCAGAGTGCAGACGCAGAACAGGAAAGTCCGAGCCGAAGCTCTTCCTGAGCTGAAGACGAGCCTCGCGGATCCAGTCGATCAGCACCTCAGTGACCGCACCCTTGCTGCGCAAGGGGAGGACTGTGGTGTAACGCGAGTAGTCGTCAACCACCAACAGGAAGTAGCGCTCGTAACCCTGCCCACGGACGGGGGCTGGGCCCCACACATCCATGTGAAGCGTCTGCAGGGGAGCCTCTGTCGGGGGGAAGTGGGAGGAGTGAGGAGTAGCCCGGAGGCGACCCTCGACACAGGGGACACAGGAAGGTCCTGGCCCGGAGGGGAGAGGAGGGAGAGACTGGGGAAGACCAGAGACAAGGACACGGGAAGCCATGCTCCGAAGACGGGGCAAGGAGGGGTGGCCAAGACGGTGGTGCCACAGGAGAGTCTCGTGAGACAGGAGGCGACAAGAACAGGGGGCAGACTCAGGACCTGACCGGGACGCAGCAGCAAGTACCTGACCCGACGCAGCCACCTGACCAGACGCAGGGACAGGAGGAGACTCAACGGTCAGGGTGTAGAGACTCGACCCCGGCCGACGCGAGAACGTGGCCAGGTGTCGGCCTGTGCGTGCCTCCGTGCAGTGGGTCACCCGCTGACTCGCAGGAGTGAACTGGTGAACACCCACATCCTGCAGGTCCGCTCCACTCACCAAGTTCGTAGAGAACGAGGGAAGGTACAGACCCGACAGGGTGCCCGAAGGGGCAGCCGGACACGGGAGGACAGTGGAGAAGTGAGACAGGACAGGACCCCCAGAGGGGTCAGCAAGGGAGACTGCAACAGGCCGGCCGAGCGGCGTAAGGGTAGTGCGGTCTCGAAAGAAGGAGCGAGAAGCTCCGGAGTCAAGTGTGAAAGTGAGGGAGGACGAGGACGACTCAGTACTTGAGAGCGCAGTCTCACCAGTACTTGAGAGCGCAGACGCACTGGCACCTAGAGCAGCAGCCTCACAAGCACCCAGCGCAGCAGTACCAATGCCCGGGTCGGGCTGGAAACAGCGGTAACCCTCATTCTCCTCACTATAATCCACAACATACATAGCAGTAAGGATAGCATCAAAATCAAGATCAAAGATCGCTACACCAGCCCTGAGAAGCTCATCCCAGCGAGGGATCTCACTAGCCCTAGGGAACTGCTGACGCCAGGCGTCCGTCAGGCGGCCAAAGCAGCGCTGGGTGGCGTGGGCACCCCCACACTGCTCACCCGCGCGGTCGCCGGAACGAAGAACGTAGGTGCAGGGACCAGTACCCCCACCCCTCTGACGCCCAGCGTACCACTCACGAAGCTGCTGAGGCGAAGGGATGTCCCGAGAGCGCTGCTGCTGCTGCCGCTGCGAGCGCTGGCCACCACCACCGCCGCTACGCTGCTGGGTACCACCCCGACCAGATCCACCCCCTCCACCACCACTGCCTCCTCCGCTGCCGCCTCCACCGCCTCCACCTCCGCCGCCTCCACCTCCGCCGCTGCCTCCACCACCACCGCTGGCACCACCACCACCGTCTCCGCCGCTGCTGCCACCACCACCACCACCCCCGCCACTAGTCCCGCCGCCACCCCCACTCCCTCCGCCGCCACCGCCGCCACCGCCACCGCCCCCTCCAGCTCCACCCGCGCCCTTGCCCCCCTTGCCCTTGCTGAAGCGACGTCTCCCACTAGGGGCAGACGCCGCGCCGACCGACTCAAGACCAAGCAGGTCGGCAGCAGCAGCAGAGGCAACAGAGGGCAGCAAGGGGGAAGGAGAGCACCCCTCAAAGATGGGGGTGCGAGGGTCACCACGAGAAGCACCTACAGCGACGATGCTCTTCTCCGCTGCGAGGAGGGCCTTCTCGAGGAGGTCGACGGTGAGGGTGGTGGGACAGACTGCGAGAAAGTGGTCCCTGACGAATCGAAGGGAGTCAGGGAGGCGCGCGACTACGTAGTAGAGAGCGATGTACATGGGGGGGGGGTTCTTAGCGCAGAACTCAGCAGGAAGGGCGGCGCGGTAGCGAGTGTCACTAGTGCGGAGGTGCGTAATGAGGTCAGCGACAGTGGGAAAGGCAGAGAGGTCAGGAAAGAGGTAGGGAAGCATGAGACGGCTCAGTGCAGCAGTGGCAGGGGAGGAGTAGCGCGCAACTACAGCGTCGTACAAGGTCTGAGCACTCTTGTACTGACTAAAGTGCGCACGCTCAGAGGTAGGGAGGTGGCGACGCACAGCAAGACGTGCAGCAGCATCGCGGGTGGCCCACTTAGAGCGGACAGCGGGATCAGCATCAGCAGCAGGAGCAGGAGAGGCGCCAGAGGTGAGATCAAAGAGAGAAAGGTCGTCAGCCCTGTCGCACTGTAAGAACAGCTGCAGGTCGTCTAACCAGACCTCAAAATCAATGGCGCGACCCTCTGCGTCAAAAGCTAGGACACTAGGGGTAGCCATGGCGACGACAGCGACGCAGTGCAAGCAGCGAGCAAAGAGCTCGCAGTGTCAGTGGGACTGTGCTCACCAGGCAGGGCAGGTCGTGTAGGTATGCAGAAAGGCGGCTCGAGTGCTGGGCGGCTCGGCTGCTGGGCGGCTCGGGCGCAGGGCGGCTCGGCTCCCGGGCTGCTCGGCGGCTGGGCGGCTCGGGTGCAGGGCGGCTCGGCTCCCGGGCGGCTCGGCGGCAGGGCGGCTCGGGTCCCGGGCGGCTCGGCGTCGGGCGGCTCGGCTCACGGGCGGTTCGGCTGCTGAGGCGGCTCGGCCAGGAGATGCAGGGGCGGGGCCGTCAGGTGCAGCGGCGGGTTGACCGGTGCAGTGGCGGGCCGGCAGGTGCAGCGGTGGGCCGGCAGGTGCAGTGGCGGGCCGGCAGGTGCAGCGGCGGGCCGGCAGGTGCAGGCGGCGGGCCGTAGGGTGCAGTGGCGGGCCGTAGGTGCAGCAGCGAGGCCGGCAGGTGCAGCGGCGAGGCCGTCAGAGGCGGCAGGCCGCTGGGTGCAGCGGCGGGCCGGCAGGTGCAGTGGCGGGCCGGCAGGTGCAGCGGCGGGCCGTAGGGTGCAGTGGCGGGCCGGCAGGTGCAGCGGCGGGCCGGCAGGTGCAGTGGCGGGCCGGCAGGAGAGGCGGCGGAGCCGCGTCAGGGGAGGCGGCAGGGCCGCGTCAGGGGAGGCAGCGGAGCCGCGTCAGGGGAGGCGGCGGTGCCGCGTCAGGGGAGGCGGGGGAGCCGCGTCAGGGGAGGCGGCAGGGCCGCGTCATGGGAGGCGGCGGGGCCGCGTCAGACAGGCGGCGGGGCCGCGTCAGGAGAGGCGGCGGAGCCGCGTCAGGGGAGGCGGCGGGGCCGCGTCAGGGGAGGCGGCTGAGCCGCGTCAGGGTAGGCGGCGGGGCCGCGTCAAACAGGCGGCGGGGCCGCGATCAGGAGAGGTGGCGGGGCCGCGTCTGAGGGACAGCGGGGCCGCGAGGGAAAAGGCGACCCGAGGGGGGGTCGCTAAAAAAAAAAGGGCGCGCCTCGGGGCGCGCTTCGGTGGGCCCTAAAAAAAAACGGTCCTAAGGTAGGACCCGCTCTATACCAGGTGAAGTAAAGAAAACAGGAATGAATGACTAAGGAAAGATTGGGTACAAATACAACCCTAGAAACCCTGTACCCCATATGTGCTACCCCACTATAGCCTACAGCAACTATGTCATATAAATCTGACACTTCGCTCATTGTATTCTTGCTTCGATAGTGCAATTCTCGTTCGTTCACTCAATTGCACTCGTAACACTTGGTATTCAGAGCCTACGATCTCATCTCGGACCGCATCCACACCTTCGCTTCCCCACTATCTCAATTTTTGGGGGGGGATAGACGTCTCTCAGCGATACAGCACCGCCGCTCGTAGTGCTCTCTCGTAAGCACGCTCGGCCACGGCCGAGGCTCTCGCTGAGCTTGCCCGACACCCCCCCCATGGCCGACTCACGCTCGCCACATTAACGCAGGAGCAGCTTGATCGTCTCGTGCGTCAGCTGGAAGATTCGGCGCTCGAAATCGCGATGCTCACGGCGGAACGTGACTCCACCCGTCAACAGTCCACGGTGAACATTCCGGCGACATCACACGCACCAACAAATGCATCTGCACAATCGGACGAGCCGATCATCATCTCGTCCGGCACACCAACACAACACGACAGCATGGGACAACGCTCAGGCGCAGCCAGTGACGGCGCCGCCCAGCCGATGCCTGGCATGGGAGGAGGCAGGATCGCACCAAGCCCGCGGGAGCCCCGGGAAGCCCGTCGGCACGTGGAATTTGCGGCGACAAGTGGCAAACAGGCCATCATGGCACCAATGCCGCTCAAGCCGCAATGTCCGCCCTGCTTCGACCCAAGCCAACGCGGAGGTCCGACGGTTCAATCGTGGGTCTTCACGATGAACGTCTTCTTCGACGCAAACTACATCGAGTCGGACGCCGCGAAGATCCGGTATGCAGTTTCGCTGCTAAGGGGCCCCGCCATGAACTGGTGGCGAGTCATCGTGACGTCGCCACGCGCCTACGAGCCACCGTCGCACAAGGAAGGGCCCACGGGTCCAGCTGTCACCTGGAGTTCGTTCTGCGAGACCGCCCAATACAGCACGTGGGATGCGTGGTGCGCAGGGCTTCGGGCGCGCTTCGAGCCGATCGCGGCTTCGATTTCGGCGCGTCAGAGATTGCGCACTTGGCGCCAGCTCGGGCCGGTTCAAGATTATACAAGCAGTTTTCTCGCATTTTGCGAGCAGGTCGGCTACATGCACGAAGCGGAGCGGGTGGACCGTTACGTCGGAGGGCTGAAGCCGGATATCTCGCACGAAATAATGCTGCGCGGACTCTCTAACTTCAACGAGATTCTCGCGCTCGCCGAGAAAATCGACATCCTACGCCGACCGAGACCGGGGTCCTACTACGGACATCGCCCTCGGGGACCGACCGAGCACGCCACTGTACACGCCGTTGCAACGAATGCAGCTGCCGCACCATTTAAGGGGCACTGCTTTGGTTGCAACAGGCCGGGCCATCGCAAGAGCGAATGCCCAGAGGAGTTGAGGCGTCGCGGAGCAGAGCAGGGGAGGGAGTCTCAGAGGCAGGGAAACGCCAACAGTCAGTAGAAGTTGGGCCAACTACTGACGAGACTACCTGCTCGCCCAACCACACCGACCCTCACCGAGTCACAGTACCGATTCACGCCATCGATCGGGCTCGGATGAATAAGGAGGGTACAGCGACGGATTGCCCAGTACCGATCTACGGGAAAATACAGGGAGCAGCGGTAAAGATTTTCATTGACGGAGGAGCAAGTCACAGTTTAGTTAATACCGTGACCGCACGGAAACTGCAGTTAACACTTAACCGTTGCTTACCTGAGATAGACGCACGCTTAGTCGACGGCAAGCCACTGGCCATACGGGAAAAGGTGGAGCGTTTAAAAGTCCGTTGCGGGGGGAACTTCGGGTTTACACAGGAAATGCTCGCAACGACACTGGATGGGCACGACATCTTATTGGGACGTGATTGGCTGCAACGGTAAAACCCGCGAATCAACTGGACGACGTGTAGCTGCACCGTGCGAAGTAGTGGTAAGTGGGTCGAATTACCTCGCTGGCAGTCGCCCGAGTCTTCAACGGTCCACGTCAACGCCATCACGATGAAACGGGTTGTCGCCGCGGGAGCTGACGTGTACAAAGTAGATATAGCATTAGTAGGAGAAGAGGAGCAGCCGAGCGATTTGCAGAAACTGTTGGCAGCAGTACCGCCCAAACTTCAGGAACTGTTGAAACGGTACTCGGGGATTTTTCCAGACGACTTACCGCAAGGGCTGCCACCTCAGCGGGCACATGACCATAGGATAGAGTTAGAACCGGGGCACAGCCAACTGTACAGCGCCAGTTCAGACTGACACAGCCCGAGCTCGACGAACTAAGGAAGCAGTTAGATTATCTGTTAGAGAAGCAATTTATCCGACCGAGCTCGTCACCGTTCGCCGCACCGATACTGTTCACACCGAAAAAAGATGGAGGATTCCGCATGTGCATTGATTACCGAGCGCTCAACAGAGTAACAGTCAAATCGCGGTACCCCATCCCCCGCGCCGACGAACTGATCGACCAGCTGCGAACAGCACGGGTATTTTCGAAAATAGACTTACGGGGTGGTTACCATCAGATTCGGGTCGAACCATCGGACTGCGCCAAGACAGCATTTAGAATTAGGTACGGGTCATTCGAGTACACGGTGATGCCTTTCGGGCTGACCAACGCGCCTGCAACATTTCAGATGACCATGAACGAGGCGTTTAGGCCACTTTTAGATAAATGCGTGATGGTTTACCTCGACGACATCCTCGTTTACAGTCGCGACCAGCAGCAACACTTAGTCGATCTCGAAGCAGTGTTTAAAATTTTAGAGGAACATTGGTTACTCACCAAGGGCTCCAAGTGCGAGTTTTTTCGGGACAGGCTAGAATTCTTAGGCCACGTTATTTCGGAGGCTGGAGTTGAAATCGACCCCAAGAAGCTAGATACCGTAAAAGCGTGGCATCCCCCGACGAACATCACGGAACTCCAGAGTTTTTTAGGGTTCGTTAATTACGTTCGTCGGTTCGTCCCCGACATGGCCAGTTTGACAACCCCGCTAACAGATTTACTGCGCAAGGGGGTCGCTTTTACGTGGGGGGAGAAAGAGCATGCTGCCTTCTCTGCCCTGAAAATTGTTCTCTGTTCACCACCCGTGCTACGCATCGCTGACCCACATCGCCCCTTCGAAGTTGTTACAGAAGCAAGCGACATCGCTATTGGAGCCGTGCTGTTACAGGACTTCGGCAACGGCCTCCAGCCCATCGCCTACGAATAACGAAAACTACATCCACCTGAACGAAATTACCCGATACACGACCACGAAATGCTCGCGATCGTGCATGCATTCAAAGTGTGGCGCTGCTACTTGACCGGCGCAGACGTGACAGTACGGACAGACCATCGATCCCTACAGTACCTCCGTGCACAGCCCCACCTCAATGTGAAGACTAGAACGAGGATGAATGAACTATGAATGAAGTGAGTACAAATATGAAACCCTAATTGGGTTGTACCCCTTATGGGATACCCCACTATAGCCTACACAATAGTATAAGCTATAATGTTCTGACACACCCCCATAGGCAAAGTGGGGGAGAACAAGGGGTCACAAGACCAGTCAAGCAAAGCAAAGCAAAGCTCAGGGTGGATCACAACGTCACCACACATTCCGAGCGCAAGTTCAAAGGCCAAAGGGCCATTTCACATGCAAGATCACATATATATATACAAGAAGCTAAGCAAGGAAGAGCAATAGTATATATATGTGACAGTACAAGCAAGGTCAAGAAGAGAGCAAGTGAGGCAAAACAGGCACAAGACCTAGCTGAGTGCAGAAGCGCTGATGATTACAAGGCGCAAGTGCCTTGGTAAACACATCAGCAGTGTTGGCCTCAGAGGCCACGTACGCAAGCCGCAACTGTCCACGCTGCTGTAGCTCACGAGCAAGAAAGTAGCGGAGAGCAATGTGCTTTGTCCTGTGCTCCAGTCGCTGCTCTCAACACAAGGCCAGCATAGCCTTGTTGTCTACGTACAGGACTGGAGGAGAACGAGGCGGCTCTCCAAGGTCGGTCAGCAGGTAGGTGAGCCAGCGAAGCTCCTGGGCAGCCATAGCCCCGGCGTAGATCTCAGCCTCACAACTGGAGCCGAGAACAGAAGACGAGTGGGTAGCCCGCCACGAAACAGAGCCGGAACCAAGACTGAAGGTGTAACCCTGAGACGACCGCTGCGTAGCCTGGTCGTCAGCCCAAGAAGCGTCCGCGTGCCCAGTGAGGACCACTGGACTCCGCCCTCCAAGCACTAGCCCCATGCTCGACGTACTGTACAAGTAGCACAACACCCTCTTCGCTGTAGCCATGTGCTCTGGTCGGTGTCTCCCAGGAGCAACATAGCGTGCGAGAATGCTAAGAGGGTATGCAAGGTCAGGTCGAGTACAGGTCATCAGGTACATGAGGCACCCAACAAGCTCTGGATACGGGCCACTCGACTCTACGGACTCATCCGAAGGCAGAGCTGAGAGCGAGTGGCGAGTAGGCAGAGGAGTGGCCTGAGGCGAGGAGTCATGAAGCCGAAGCACAGAAGGACCTGCTGCACCATGTGTGACTGAGTCAGGGTAATGGTGCGGCGTGCTCTGTCCCGGGTGATCTGCAAGCCAAGGTAGCTACGCAGTTCACCCAGGTCTGTGCACGTGTGTCTCTTCTGCAGCTCGGACTTCACGTAGGCGAGTCCAGCAGTGTCAGCTGTGGCAAAGACCAAGCCGTCGACGTATACGAGGATGTAGAACGGCGGCAGGGAGGTGTTGGTGCGCAGAAACAGCGACGGTCGGCAGTAGAAGGAGCAAACCCAAGTGCCGCCCGCGTAGTCCTCAGTGTGTCGTGCCACTCACGTGGCGCCTGGCGGAGACCGTAGACTGGACGCCGGAGACTCCACTCGGTACCAGGAGGGAAAGACCCAGTGAAGCCAGATGGGCGGCGCAGCCAGATCTCCTCGTGCAGGCTGCCCTGCAAGAAAGCAGTGCTGAAGTCGAGAGAGTGCAGCTCGTAGTCACGGTGAGCAGCAACGTGCAGCAGTATCCGAAGAGTGGTCATCTTTGGGGTGGGGGAGAAGGTCTGAAAGTAGTCAACTCCCTGCCGCTGACTGAAGCCACGAGCCACGTAACGTGCCTTGAAGACAGGCGGAGAACCCGGCGGCCGCTTCACCCTGACGATCCACATGCCACTGACGATGTTCGCCCCAGGAGGGGGGACAGCGTCAACGTAGGTGCCTGTGGACTTCCAGGAAGCCATCTTTGCATCCATAGCTGCCTGCCACTGAGAGGAGTAGGGACCCTCTATTGCCTCCGCGTAAGAGCGCGGAGTCGGGATGTCAAGTGCATCCGGGTCTCCCTTAGGGGTAAGCAGTACGGACAAGAGATGCGGTGAAGCGGCTGCCAGGCACTGGAACTCCTCCTGCCTGTCCTCGAGGACGTCCGTGCCAAGGGCACACTCACCCCCGACGAACGGAGGACAGACAGACTCAGACTCAGCGACAAGACGAGCAGCGTAGTCTAGGCGACAGCGAGCAGCAAAGTCGACGAGCTCACTAACGAGGGCAGACGCAGCAGAAGACTCGAAAGAAGGGTCAGTGACGACAGTAGCAAGGAAACGCGTGACAGTAGGACTGGCAGCACGAAGAGAGTCTGACTCAGGGTCGGAAAGAGCAGGAAGAGAGGACTCAGGAGGAGAAGGCAAAGGGGCACGCAGAGGAGCAGTAGACGGATGCAGAGACATCCGGTGCGTGCCAAGGGCAGGAGGAGGACGCTGACGCGAACTGCAACCACTAGCGCGTGCAGTACGAACAGGCGACGCAGGACGAGACGCAGGCTCACGACGCTCAGTAAGACCTCCAGTAGGACCAGCGTAGGGAGAAGGATCAGGTAAGGGGGAGGAAGGCTGTAGCTGTGACTGTGACGGGACAGGCTGTGGACCCTCTAAGGTAGGAGGACCAGTAGAAGGTGGAAGACCAAGAACCTGCTGCAGGAGTGGAACAAAGTACGGTCGAGGCCGCGCGGCGACGCCAGACACAGCAGGGACAGCACCAGTACTCCCAGCAGGAGCACCCGCTCCAGCAGCACCTCCAGCAGCTCCAGAACATCCAGCAGCACCAGGAGAACCCCTGGCAGGACCGCCAGCAGTAGTCTCAGCGCCAACACCCTCAACAGCACCAGCTCTAGTCGAACCCGCAGGCCCACCAGCTCCAGTACTCCCAGTACGAGCACCTCCGGGACCCGCGACAGTAGCACCCTCAGTAACCGAAGAACCTCCAGCACCAGCAGCACGCCTCTAGCGCCGGGCAAACCACTCGCGCAGCTCCTGTGGAGAGAGTGGCTCCCGCAGAGACGAAGGACCCGGAGAACCTCCAGGCGTAGCACCTCCAAGCTCAGCACCCCCAGGCTCAGCACACCCAGGCTCAGCACCCCCAGGCTCAGCACCCCCACGCTCAGCACCCCCACGCTCAGCACCCCCAGGCTCAGCACCCCCAGGCTCCGCACCCCCAGGCTCCGCACCCCCAGGCTCAGCACCCCCAGGCTCAACACCCCCAGTCTCAGCACCCCTAGGCTCAGCACCCCCAGTCTCAGCACCCTTAGGCTCAGCACCCGCAGCTGCACCATAGTCACCAGTGACCTCGACAGGCTCGACCGCGTCTACCTGGGACACACCTGAAGGGGCAGGACCCTGAGGGGGAAGGGGGTCTACTGGGGGGGGACCTGGTACCAAGAAGAGCGAGGGTGGGGGGAGGGACGGAGTGCGGTAGGGGAAGAGGCGGTAGTAGGGTACCAACTCGTCGAACGTGACGTCATGGGAGGACAGAACACGGCGAGAGGTGGGGTGGTAGAACTCCCACCCAGGGGCGTCGGGGGGGGAACCCCAGGAAGACGCAGGGAGCAGCGCGAGGGGACAGCTTGTCCGCAGACAAGTCGCGGACAAACGCCCGAGATCCCCAGACCCGGAACGCCGATGCATCGCCAACCTTCCCCGTCCACAGCAGGGCTGAGGAGGTCTCCGACCTGGAGACCCTGGGGTGAAGGTTGATCTGATGCAACGCGTATCTGACCGCAAACGGCCACAGAAAATGGGGGGCAGCCGCATGCATCATAGACGTACGAGCGACGTCCATGACCATGCCAATGCGGCGCTCTGCAATCCCATTTTGCTGCGGTGAGTCCGGAAGCGTGTAGGTCTGACGGATGCCTCGTGCACGACAGTAGGCACGCAGAAGGCCGGAGGAGAACTCTCCGCCTCTGTCCGAGTGCAGACGCAGAACAGGAAAGTCCGAGCCAAAGCTCTGCCTGAGTTGGAGAAGAGCTGCGCGGATCCAGTCGATCAGCACCTCAGTGACATCACCCTTGCTGCGCAAGGGGAAGACTGTGGTGTAACGCGAGTAGTCGTCAACCACCAGCAGGAAGTAGCGTTCGTGACCTAGTCCACGGACGCGGGCAGGGCCCCACACGTCCATGTGAAGCGTATGCAACGGGGCCTCTGTCGGAGGAAACTGGGAGGAGTGAGGGGCAACACGTTGGCGCCCCTCGACACAGGGGACACAGGCAGGGCCAGGGCCCTGAGGAAGGGGAGGGAGGGACCGGGGGAGACCAGACACAAGAGGACGGGAGGCCATGCCTCTGAGCGAAAGCAGAGAGGGGTGACCAAGGCGGTGGTGCCAGAGAAGAGTCTCGTGAGACAGGCGACGACACAAAGAGGGGGAAGACTCAGGACCAGACCTGGACGCTGCAGCAAACACCTGACCAGACGCAGGGACCCTACCAGACTCAGCAACTGGAGGAGAAGCACTGGTCAGTGTGTACAGGCTCGACCCTGGCTGGCGTGCAAACGTAGCCAGGTGGCGACTTGTGCTAGCCTCTGTGCAGTGCGTCACCTGCTGACGAGCAGGAGTGAACTGGTGGACACCCGCATCCTGTAGGTCAGCACCACTCACCAGGCTCGTAGAGAACGAGTGGAAGTAGAGACCAGACACGGTGCCAGAGGGAGCCGCCGGACACGGGAGGACTGTGGAGAAGCGAGACATGACAGGACCCCCAGAGGGGTCAGCCAGGGACACCGCAACCGGCCGACTAAGCGGCGTGAGTGTGGTGCGGTCCCGAAAGAAGGAGCGAGACGCCCCAGAGTCAAGGGTGAAGGTATGGGGGGCCGAAGCCGACGCAGTACCTGAGAGCGCAGACTCACTAGTACCTGAGAGCGCAGCCTCACCAGTACCTGAGAGCAAAGACGCACTTGCACCTAGAGCAGTAGCCTCACTGGCACCTAGAGCAGCAGTACCAATGCCCGGGTCGGGCGGGAAACACCGGTAACAGTCACCCTCATCACTAATAGTCACAGCATACATGGCAGCAAGGATAGCATCAAAGTCAAGATCAAAGATAGCTACACCAGCCCTAGACAGCTCTCCCCAGCGGGGGATCTCAGTGGCCTCCGGGAACTGCTGGCGCCAAGCGTCCGTCAGGCGGCCAAAGAAGCGCTGGGCGATGTGGGCACCCCCACACTGCTCACCCGCGCGGTCGCCAGTGCGAAGGACGTAGGTGCAGGGACCAAAACCCCCACCACGCTGACGCTGCGTGTACCACTCACGGAGCTGCTGAGGGGTGGGGACGTCGCGAGAACGCTGCTGCTGCTGCTGCTGCTGGCGCTGACCACCCCCAGTGCTGCTCCGCTGCGAAGCGCCACTACGACCACCTCCACCACCTCCACCTCCTCCACCTCCGCCACCACCGCCGCCCCCGCCAGTAACGCCGCCGCCTCCGCCGCCTCCGCCTCCACTGCCGCCACTAGTACCCCCACCCCCGCCACCACCTCCACCGCCACCCCCACTCCCTCCGCCGCCTCCACCTCCACCGCCACCGCCCCCGCCAGCTCCACCCGCGCCCTTGCCCCCCTTGCCCTTGCCAGACCGACGTCTCCCGCTAGGGGCAGACGCTGCACCGACCGACTCAAGACCAACGAGGTCGGCCGAAGCGGCAGAGGCGACAGAGGGCAACAGGGGGGAAGGAGAACACCCCTCAAAGATGGGGGTGCGAGGGTCACCACGAGAGGCCCCTACAGCGACTATGCTCTTCTCTGCCACTAGGAGGGACTTCTCGAGGAGGTCTACAGTGAGTGTGGTGGGACAGACTGAGAGGAAGTGATCCCTGACTTCACGAAGGGAGTCAGGGAGACGGGTGACTATGAAATTGAGAGTGATGTACATGGGGGGGGGGTTCTTGGCGCAGAAGTCAGCAGAGAGCACAGCGCGGTAGCGAGTGTCACTAGTGCGGAGGTGCGTAATAAGGTCAGCGACTGTGGGAAAGGCAGCAAGGTCAGGGAAGAGGAAGGGTAGCATGAGGCGGCTCAGTGCAGCAGTGGCAAGGGAGGAGTAGCGCGCAACTACAGCGTCGTACAAGGTCTGAGCACTCTTGTACTGACTAAAGTGCGCGCGCTCAGCGGTAGGCAGGTGGCGACGCACAGCAAGACGTGCAGCAGCATCGCGTGTGGCCCACTGGGAGCGAACAGTGGGGTCAGCATCAGCAGCAGGGGCAGGGACGGCGCAATAGGTGAGGTCAAAGAGAGAAAGACCGTCGGCCTTATCGCACTGTAAGAACAGCTGCAGGTCGTCAACCCAAACCTCAAAGTCAATGGCGCGACCCTTAGCGTCAAAAGCTAGGACACTAGGGGTAGCCATGACAGCAGTCGACGGTCTCACCAGACAGGACGGGTCGGGCAGCTCAGCAGCACAGCAACACGGCAACACTGCAGCTCGGCCGGCCCAGCAGCAACAGCAGCTCCGCGGGACCAGCGGCTCGGCTCCTCAGGTGACTCGGGCGGCTCGGGCGGCGCAGGCGGCTCGGGCGGCTCGGGCGGCTCGGGCACTCAGCGGCACAGGCGGCTCAGGCGGCTCGGCTCCTCAGCGGCGCAGGCGGCTCGGGTGACGCAGGTGGCACGAGCGGCTCGGGCGGCTGGGTATCATAGCGGCGTACGGGCGGCGTGGGGCCGGGACGGCGGCGTGCGGCCGGGACGGCGACGCACGGCTGGGACGGGTGGCGCACGGGCGGCTGGGAGCGGGGCCTGGACAGGCGACGCACGGGCGACGAGGGGCCGGGACGGCTGTGCGCGGCCGGGACGGGCGGCGCACGGATGGCGTGGGGACGGGACGGGCGGCGCACATTGTCGACGGGCCAGGACGGGCGGCGCACTAGCGCCTAAGGGAGGCGCGACGGCGGCGTGGGGCCTGACGGGCGGCGCACGGGTGGCGTGGGGCCGGGACGGGCGGCGCACGGCGTCCACGGGCCGGGACGGGCGGCGCACAGGCGCCTAAGGGTGGCGCAACGGCGGCGTGGGGCCTGACGGGCGGCGCACGGGGTCGACGGGCCGGGACGGGCGGCGCACAGGCGCCTAAGGGTGGCGCGACGGCGGCGTGGGGCCTGACGGGCGGCGCGCGGGCGGTAGGGGCCGAAACGGGCGGCGCGCGGGCGTCTAGGGGCCGAGACGGGCGGCGAGCGAGCGTCTAAGGGCGGCGCGCGGGAGTCTAGGGACCGGGACGGGTGGCGTGCTGGTGTCGAAGGGCGGCGCGCGGGCGTCTAGGGGCCGTAGGGCAGGTCGACAAAGTGAGAGAGAGGGCCCGGAGCGCGCTCCGGGCAAAAAAAAAAAAAATTCGATGTGGTGGGCCCTAAGCACAATTCCCACAGGGGAACCTGCTCTATACCATGTGAAGACTAGAACGAGGATGAATGAACTATGAATGAAGTGAGTACAAATATGAAACCCTAATTGGGTTGTACCCCCCACTATAGCCTACACAATTGCATAAGCTATAATGTTCTGACACTCAACCCACGACAGATTCGGTGGCTCGATTTCCTCGAGTCAAATTTCCATTACACAGTCACCTATAAAAAAGGAGCCTCGAATATCGCCGGCGCACTGACCCGCCCCACTGCCCAGATCCATACGATACTACTCGCCCAGACCAGTCCGCTACTAACAAGACTATTTACCCACGGATATCAAACAGACCCATTCTTCACAGGAGGAAACTCGCAGCAATTCGCAGCAGCCAAGGGAGTCTATTACGTAAAAGCTGGGACCGACCACATCTGGGTACCAGGGTACACACTACTACGGGAATTACTGTTACAGGAGGCACACGGCGGAGTTACCTCGTGAGATTTCGGAGTAGAGGAAACACGGCAGCAGCTGCAGCGGTATTATTACTGGCCCGAAATGTTGACCGACGTGCAACGACACGTGGCGTCGTGTCCCACTTGCCAGATCATGAAGTCAACCAGGAAGCGGCCGGCGGGACAATTGCAACCAATCCCACCTCCAGAGCGTGCTTGGCAGCAAGTGACGATGGACTTCGTCACGGGGTTACCGGCCGGGGCGAGAGGGAATGACGCGATCTTGGTCGTCGTCGATCGACTGACGAAAATGGCACACTTCGCAGCCTGCAAGAAATCAATCACAGCCGAGGAAACAGCCCGTCTCTTCATCTCTACCGTCGTTCGACTGCACGAGATACCAACATCGATCATCAGCGACACAGACACAAAGTTTACTAGCAATTTCTGGCGAAACCTGTGGCAGCAGTTCGGCACGCGCCTACAGTTCAGTTCATCGTATCAACCCGAGACTAACGGACAGACCGAACGGACAAACCAGACCACGAGCAGCTCATTCGGGCCACGTGCGACGATCCAAACACGTGGGAACAGCAACTGCCACTCATCGAATTCGCATACAACAACGCCCCATCCGCCACGACCCAACAGTCACCGTTTTACCTGAATTACGGACAAGACCCAACAGTACCCATGACCCTGAATCCCGACAACCCCATCCCACGCGCAAACAGTTCGCCGAGGTTTTGCAAGCAGCACGGACCAGGGCGGCAGAAGCAATCAAAAAATCAAACATCATCGCTAAACGCAACGCCGACTGCCACCGCAGACCTGTCACTTACCAGCCCGACGACCTTGTTTTGCTCGACACTCAAAACCTCCGCCTGCCCATCACCCCAAAACTCCGCCCTCGATAATGTGGGCCATTTCGAACTAGCCATATGATAACACCTGTCATCGCACACCTCCTCCTCCCTGCTGACTGGTACGTCAGCCCCTCGTTCCACGTCAGCCTGCTTCGCCCTTACGTACCATCCACAAGCCAACTCCCACGAAATCGCCCAGCCTGCATGGCACAACCGCCAACCGAACCAATCATCACCCCCGACAAAATCCTGAGCCACGGAGTTCGTGACCCTCGAGGAGCCCGAAAGATCGAGTTCCTGATCCGCTGGAAAGACCGTACACCCACCGAGGACAACTGGGTTCCCCTGGACAGAATCGACAACCACCCTGTTCTCACCGTGTATCTGCGCAGCCGAAACTTCAGGGACGTCCACGCTCTTTCGTAAGGAGGACCTCCTTAGGAGGGGGGGTAGTGTAAGGAAAATCACTTTCCTTACTTCGCATCCCTGCTCAACGCGTACATCACTGTAGCGCCTCAGTCAGCACCGTTACCACTCGCGATCCTCGCATCGACAATCACTCCGCCATTTTCGCACATCGCACCCCGACCTCACGGCTCGGCAGGTAACCCGCGCTCCGGGCCTCCGCTTCGGCATTTTCCAAACCTCAATCCCAGGCTCGTCGCGCGACAACCACAGTCCATTACCGTTACCACTGTAGTTTCGCTATATATTCTTCGCTCATGCCTTCGCTCATTGTATTCTTGCTTCGATAGTGCAATTCTCGTTCGTTCACTCAATTGCACTCGTAACAGTATGTATAAAGAAATTTTAAAAGCAAGTATGCATATTCACAAAGTATGTATAAATTGAACTATCTTCATCAAAGGTTTCTCTCAATATAAGCAGCCTTACAAATCGGACTCAAGCACTATATAACCTTACAATGTTATAACAAGCAATTAGAACAAAGTTAATTGTTATGATATTCTCCAAGGGGCTTGCACTATAAATGCACACTATCCGATCCGAGCTCTGCCATGAAACCATAGGGTACCGTACTATGTTTGCTACTGATTCAATACAATTCGATTGCACCGCGCGTTGGAAGCACGACGCCCACTGCAAACGCTGGAGCCAATGCCTTCGACAATAAAATTTCCACGAAATGTTTTGTACTTGTTGGTAGTGTTGGAAACAATCAGTGTTAAGCGCTCCTGTCGTGTCGAAACACTAAGGCACATGCGAAGTAGTGCATACCGAGGCACCAGCGAGTCAACTCTCGGAGGTTGAAGTTGTGAAAGTAGGTGAGGAGTAGGAGAAGCCATAGCTAGGGCTAACCTAGCTAGGCAAGGAAGAATTTAGGCAAAGAGGCTTGTCCTAGCAAGCAAGGGGATACATATATGAAACCCTAAGGGGTTATCCTCACTATAGAGTACCCCACTGCAGGCTAGAGAACAAATATAACATTCTGACAGAAGTAACCGCTGGAGGTTACGCGAAAGTCAAAGGTCAGCGACCTTTTACCTGACAAATACAGCGCGACAGCAATGACACACAACTGACTCGTTACAGAGCAGTTGCCCGAGTCGTTACTGTATCGAACCGCAACAGCAACAGTAAAACAGGTATTAACTGTATCCCTTCGTATTCCTTGTACTCTTATATGAAGCCTTGTACTTGCTTGTTTTAATTAACTTACTTTGCTCTCACATACTAGCACAAGGTGGTTCAGAATCTCCTTAAACGCTTCCGCTACTACATCACTCTACCTAGAACTTAACCCTACCAAAGATCCTAAGGGGCATCTCGGCCCAACATGGTATGAGAGCTGGTTAGTGTTAAAATTATATTTCTCCTTAAATTACACCAAGAGACATGTCTACCAGAAAGGAGAGGAGCTCCTCCAATGGCTCCCCTGGTACTACTCCTACTCCACCTCCTGTCTCCGGTCTACAGACAGAGGAAGGCACAACAACAAGACCGGCAGCAGGGTCTACTGAAACACCCGCAAACCAAGGCACGGGCTTCGATCCAAGCATGATGGAGAAGTTCTTCTCCTTCATGTCCTTCTACGAGCAGCATCAGCAAGGAGCACCTGCGTAATCAAACAACAGCAACATCAACAACAACGTGACGCCCATGAGTCTTGATGGCTCATCCTACGCACGGGGGAATCAACAACAGCAACCTACCTTCACTCCGTATGAGCCCCAGCGCGGCTCCGCTAGCTTCATGCCACAACCAAAATCTGCACCGGGACAAGAGAGAACGCTGGACACACTACAAGTTCAGTCGCAGTTCGCGCACATTCTAAAACTGCAAACGACAAAACCCTTCGACACAAAGGATTTCTTTACCTGGTCGTTCGAATTCGAGCTGATGATGGAGGGAGCGCAAATCCTTGGCTTCTTCGACGGATCCCTGCCATACCCAACAAACGGCACACAGTATGAGAAGCAGCAGTACACCTATCAATCGATGATGGCGTACACGATACTACTTAGGAACGTCACTCCAACTCAACAACAAAACATACGGTCTTACCGAGGCTACGGCAACTCCGCGGAGCTCGCGTACAATCACTTGAAGAGCCTGTATCAAGCAACAGACAGCGTAAACCAAAGTCGGTTAATGGCGCAGCTGACAACGGTTGAAATGAAACAAGGGGAGAAAGGAATGACGTATATCAGTCGATGTCGCGAGTTGCGTGACAAGCTTCTTCGATGCGGAGGGTAGATTTTTTAAGACGCCTTCATGACAGTCATCATCGGCGGACTCGGTCCTCAATGGCGCGCCACAAAGGCCATCCTCCGAGCTCAAGGAAGAATTTCCGAAGCAGCGCTCTGCGCCAAAATCCACGCCGAGCAGCAAGATATGGACCTGCAAGAAGAACGACACAGAAAGAAGACATCAACACCAGAATTCGCGTTCCACACTCAGCGACGCTACAACAACAACAACAACAATAACAACCGGCAACAACAACCAAAGCCAGTACCTCCGTTCTGCCACATCTGCAAAACTTCAGGACACCCGTGTACACACTGCCCGAATCGTCAACAGTCAACAACTCCACAGCGGCAACTTCGAACTTCAAGCAGTCAAGTCGCCTCAACGCAAGCAAATCCGACAACTTCAGTACAAATCTCAACAACATCGACGGGACAACCTGCAAAAGAAACAAGAAACATCGTTAGCTGCATGGCAAGGTTGAGCGACTCCTCCATAACTGAGTCACCACCATACTACTCACCAGAAGAACAACTCGACAACAGCACACCTCGTCGCGAGTCACTTCAACCGAACCCGACGTACGCCGCCATCGCTCAAAGCGAGCCTGTCAGAATATATCTGTAACTGCCTGTAGCTGTAGTTAGTGTAGTTATTATAAAATTTGTTTGGTGGTGCACCCTCTTTGTTTCTTTGCTACATGTTGTTGCCAACCTATAGTGAAGCCCTCTTTCTCCTCTCTCAACTTTCTCGACATTCTCCTTACCCTAGAACTCGATCTACTAAGAACCTAAACTATGGCTCCTAAGCCAACCTATGCTTAAAACTTGAACATGGTATTCAGAGCACGTACTTTCCTGCTGACTTCCTGCTTCCGCTGCCTATCGTCCTGCCGCGCGCCTCGGGCGCGCGGCGTGGCGCACGGCGATTTTCTGCCCGCCGTGCGCCCTGGCCGCGCGGCATCTTCCTGCCCCGCGCGTGGCCTGCCCTCACGCCGCCTGCGCGCTTGCCTCACGTCCACGGGCGGGCCTGTTTTGCCCGCGCGTACCCTCCACTTCGCGGCGCCCTGCGAGGCGCCGCTCCTGCTCGTCGCGACGCACCTGCGGGACCCGGGCGTCGCTGCTCCTGCTCGTCGCGACGCCCCTGCAGGACCCGCACAGCGTCGCCTTGCTCGTCGCGACACCACTGCGGGATCCGCGGGGCGTCGCCACTGCTCGTCGCGGCGCCCCCTGGACGCCGCTCTTGCTCGTCGCGGCGCCCATGGGGCGTCGCCCCTACTCGTAGCGGCACCCCTTGGGCGCCGTTCCTACTCATCGCGGCGCCCTCCCCCCTGGCCACCGCCTCTGCCTCACCTCTGCCCGCGCCAGCGTTGCAGCCGAGCGCGGGCCTACCTTGCACCAGCGCCGCCCCTGGACCTCAGCAGTAGCCCCTGGAGTAGCCGCCCCAGCAGCAGCAGCCCCTTGAGCCGCCGCCCCAACAGCAGCAGCCCCTGGAGCCGCCGCCACTGCAGCGGCCGCCCCAGCAGCAGCAGCGCCTGGAGCAGCCGCCCCAGCAGCAGCACCCCCTGGAGCCGCCGCCCCAACAGCAGCAGCCCCTGGAGCCGCCGCCACTTCAGCGGCCGCCCCAGCAGCAGCAGCGCCTGGAGCAGCCGCCCCAGCAGCAGCAGCCCCTGGAGCCACCGCCACTACAGCGGCCGCCCCAGTAGCAGCAGCGCCTTGAGCAGCCGCCCCAGCAACAGCAGCCCTTGGAGCAGCCGCCCCAGCAACAGCAGCCGACCCTGGACCCCGCGAGCCGCCCCAGCAGCAGCCCACGGCGCCGACCCCACAGCTGTATGCACGCCGCTCCTGGACTCGGTACGGCTGCCCGTGCCTGTGCTGCCTGTTGCTGCCTGATGCTGCCCGTGCCTGTGCTGCCTGTTGCTGCCTGATGCTGTCCGTGCCTGTGCTGCCTGTTGCCGCCCGTTGCTGCCCGTGCCTGTGCTGCCTGTTGCCGCCCGTTGCTGCCCGTGCATGTGCTGCCCGTTGCCGCCCGTTTCTGCCCGTGCGTGTGCTGCCCGTTGCCGCCTGTTGCTGCCCGTGCCTACGCTGCACGTTGCCGCCCGTTGCTGCCCGTGCCTGTGCTGCCCGTTGCCGCCCGTTGCTGCCCGTGCCTGTGCTACCTATTGCTGCCTGTGCCTGTGCTGCCTGTTGCCGCCCATTGCTGCCCGTGCCTGTGCTGCCTGTCGCTGCCCGTGCCTGTGCTGCCTGTTGCCGCCCGTTGCTGCCTGTGCCTGTGCTGCCCGTTGCCGCTTGTTGCTGCCCGTGCATGTGCTGCCTGTTGCTGCCTGTTGCTGCCCGTGCCTGTGCTGCCCGTTGCCGCCCGTTGCTGCCAGTGCCTGTGCTGCCTGTTGCTGCCTGTGCCTGTGCTGCCTGCTGCTGCCTGTGCCTGTGCTGCCTGTTGCCGCCCGTTGCTGCCCGTGCCTATGCTGCCCGTTGCTGCTTGTTGCCTCCCGTGCCTGTGCTGCCCGTTGCTGCCTGTTGCTGCCCGTGCCTGTGCTGCCTGTTGCCGCCCGTTGCTGCCCGTGCCTGTGCTGCCTGTCGCTGTCCGTGCCTGTGCTGCCTGTTGCCGCCCGTTGCTGCCTGTGCCTGTGCTGCCCGCTGCTGCCTGCTGCTGCCCGAGCTTGTGCTGCCCGTTGCCGCCCGTTGCTGCCCGTGCCTGTGCTGCCCATTGCCGCCCGTTGCTGCCCATGCCTGTGCTGCCTGTCGCTGCCCGTGCCTGTGCTGCCTGTTGCCGCCCGTTGCTGCCTGTGCCTGTGCTGCCCGTTGCCGCCTGTTGCTGCCCGTGCCTGTGCTGCCTGTTGCTGCCTGTTGATGCCCGTGCCTGTGCTGCCCGTTGCCGCCCGTTGCTGCCAGTGCCTGTGCTGCCTGTTCCTGCGTGTGCCTGTGCTGCCTATTGCTGCCTGTGCCTGTGCTGCCTGTTGCCGCCCGTTGCTGCCCGTGCCTGTGCTGCCCGTTGCTGCCTGTTGCTTCCCGTGCCTGTGCTGCCCGTTGCTGCCTGTTGCTGCCCGTGCCTGTGCTGACTGTTGCCGCCCGTTGCTGCGCGTGCCTTTGCTGCCTGTCGCTGCCCGTGCCTGTGCTGCCTGTTGCCGCCCGTTGCTGCCTGTGCCTGTGCTGCCCGCTGCTGCCTGGTGCTGCCCGAGCCTGTGCTGCCCGTTGCCGCCCGTTGCTGCCCGTGCCTGTGCTGCCCGTTGCCGCCCGTTGCTGCCCGTGCCTGTGCTGCCCGTTGCCGCCCGTTGCTGCCCGTGCCTGTGCTGCCCGTTGCCGCCCGTTGCTGCCCGTGCCTGTGCTGCCCGTTGCCGCCCGTTGCTGCCCGTGCCTGTGCTGCCCGTCGTGCGCCCTGCTGCTGCCCGCGCCCTTGTGCGCTCTGGTCTGCCTGCGCCCTTGTGCGCTCTGCTACTGCTCCGCGCTCTTGCCCTGCACGCGCGGCTGCCCTGCCCGTGCCTATGCTGCCCCTGCTATTCCCCCTCCCCCTTCTTTGTCTCCGTGCTGCGCGTGCAGCCGTGGAACGGAGGCTATGGGGGTGGCGGGTATGGGGGTGATGGGTGTGTGTGATCCCCTTCCCCTCCTCCTCCTTTCTCTCCCACTGCTGCAGCTGCCGCTGGGGGGGGGGTGGGTGTGAGGGTGTGGGGGAGCTGAGGGAGAGGTGCTAGGGTTGTCAAGGAGTGTGGAAGGGGGAGTTGGAGGACTGAGGAAGGTTCTAGGAAGCAGCCTCCTTGGAGCCAGCAGCTTCATCTGCCAGCAGCCTCTCCTCGTATAGTCCCTCCTCCTCACTTGCCCTCTTCTTCTGCTGCGCTTGGTGTACCCCTTCAGGGGGTGTCTCTGCATTAGCTTCTGCTGCAAGCATTTATGGGGGAGTGTCAGAATATATCTCTAACTACCTATAGCTGTAGTTAGTGTAGTTATTATAAACTTTGTTTGGTGGTGCACCCTCTTTGTTTCTTTGCTATATGTTGTTGCCAACCTATAGTGAAGCCCTCTTTCTCCTCTCTTAACTTTCTCGATATTCTCCTTACCCTAGAACTCGATCTACTAAGAACCTAAACTATGGCTTCTAAGCCAACCTATGCTTAAAACTTGAGCAGAGCCGTCCGGGAAGGACACATGGTTCTTGGACAGTTGCTGCGGACAGCAAATGTGCTCCTCGGGACGCTTCGTTCAACGCGAGCACCGACTTCAACGAGAAGTTGTCATCAAAGTCGCCAATAATCAGAACCTGCGCACACGACGACAAGGGATTGTGCAACTTCAGTCACGAGAGACGAATGTCGTACTGCAAACGTCCAAGGTCCTAATAGCAGAAGGACTTGGCTATAACTTACTAAGCGTCAGTCAGTTGATGGCGAAAGGCATACACCTCGGAGCAGACAGCACCACCCAAGAATTCAAGTTGTTTCACGGGAGAGGAGTTCTCTACATCGGCAAAGCGGTCCTCAAGAACAACGTCTTCGTCCTTGATTTTGTCCCCGACCTCGGCACCGCCGATAGCGACGCCATCGTCAACTTCACCGACTGGACACACCCTCCAGACCTTGATCCAGACTTCAGCCCAGAAGGCTTTTGGTACTCACATACCATCCCTGAAGCAGAACGAACATGCGCGTTAGTGACAATACAACATTCAACAGCAGCAGAAACAACAACGGCAACAGAAGAGATAATGCCGGCAGCAGCAGAAACAACAACGGCAGCAGCACAGACAACGCCGGCAGCAGCAGAAACAACATCGGCAGCAGCAGAGACATCATCGGCAGTAGCAGGAACAACAACAGCAGCAGCAACACCGACACCAGTCCTCGTTGACAAAGCACCACCACCACCCGCACAGCAACTGAATCCGGCTCAACGGGAAGTCCATAGAAGCGCAAACTTCACCGCCAGCTTCTACTCCAATTCCGACGCGTATCGACGCTCACCCGGACATCGCGCCTCCGAAGACACCTGGCACGCACGCATGGGACACCCAAGCAACACTATGTTAAACAACACAATAAGAGGAGGAATTCTTGATAAGGACTCGTTACTACTACTCGACGGCAGAGAACTTCAACGGGCACGAGGAACATGTCTTACCTGCCCCGAAGCCGACTTACCACATCGACCGTTCACTCCTCATCACAACCCGAGCGCACCCGCGTACGCACCACTCGAAAAGGTGTATAGCGACATCCTCTACAATCGGGAACCAGGACAAGTAATATACAACTACACGATCACCTTCATTGACGCCGCCACCCGCTACGTCTGGCACCTAAACCTACCCAGCCGCGACATGGCCCTCAAAGCATTCGCCGCTTGGCTACCAGTAGCAGAAAGAGAGTCGGGCGTAAAGCTGAAAAGCCTCCAGTCTGACGGCGGAGGAGAATACACCTCTCAGCGTTTCAAGCAGTACCTGGCGGAAAGGGGAATCAAGCAGCTCCTCTCTCTCCCCTACGCCCATCAGCAGCAAGGTGTAGCAAAAAGAATGAACAGGACTTTGCAGAACAGCATGCGCAAACTGTTACGTGGCATGCGGCTACCCAACCACCAGTGGCCAGCAGCTATGGACCACGCCGTCATGCTGCACAACTTGCTGTCGTCACCATCGCTTCCGAACAACGCATCACCGCATCTGCTATGGACAGGAAAACAGGGCAGCACAAAAATGTTACGAGTGTTTGGCTACATGGTACAGTACCGACCCCTAGCAGCACGAGCGGGCCGATTTTCACAACGCGCACAGTGGGGACTACACCTCGGCATCGAAAAGAACTACAACGCGTGGAAAATTTTTGACGTCCACTCCAAGGAAACAGTAGCAGCACGCGACGTCATTTTCTACGAACGACTCACGCTCCACACATACCTTGCCAACCTGCAAGAGGACCAAGATCCAACAGGTGGCTTCCGTGGTGATCGAGCCTTCGCCTCGGCAGCAGACGAAGCTGACTAGGACGAGCAGAATGTGACCAACGCATCAGAAGAAGCTGGACCCCTTCCATACTGCTCCGTCGACGTACCCATGGACGACGATAACCCTCGCAACAGCGTCAAAGCCGAAACCTTCTACTACTTCGCCGACAACGGTTACGTAACACCTGCGACAGTCAACACCAACGAAGCAGAACGGTTAGGACCGAATTTCATACCGGATCCAGAAGAGGGAGATGAAGCAGCTTATCCCGAGGATGCAACTCTTCCCCGCTACTCACAGACTGGACTACAGATTCTCTGACTCGTCACCGCAGTCCACGGCAACACTCTTCCTATGGAGCCTACGACGGTTCAGCATGCTCTGGGGGGGAACACAGGGAAAAATGGCGCGAAGCCATGGACAGAGAGTTAAGGGCGCTGGAGGAACGGAACACCTGGAAAGTTGTCCCCATCAGCACGGCAAGGAACAAGACCATTCTCACCAGGAAATGGGTCTTCCGTGTGAAGACGAAAGCCGACGGCACAATTGACAAATTCAAGGCACGATGGGTCGTGCGCGGCTTCGACCAAGAACACGGACGGGATTTTACTGAAACTTTCACGTCGGTTAGCCGCCACACTTCACTACGCATTCTCCTCGCAATTGCCGCCATGAAGAAGAAGAAGCTGCGGCGAATTGACGTCGCGAACGCGTTCCTCTACGCACCTGTCGACGCAAAGATCTTCGTGGAACTACCGCACGGTACTAACGGAGAGCCCAACCAGGTTTGTCAGCTGCTGAAGTCGCTCTACGGAATCAAGCAAGCCCCGCAGCTATGGCAACAGTACCTACACGCTCGTCTCATTCGCATCGGGTTCCGCCAACTACCTCACGATCAAGGCATGTACCGGCTCACGAAAAACAACGACTATATCCTACTGATCGTCTACGTAGACGACTTACTCTACGTCAGCTCCACTGACAGCATCACCACCTGGTTTGAAGGGGAGCTACAGAGGGACCTCACACTCACGGTTTCCTCCACCGTCACACAGTACCTCGGCTTGAACATTCGAGAGGAAGAAGACGCGATTCACCTCAATGCCGCTAAGTACACCGACACCATCGCCAAACGCTTCGCACTCACACCTACCACCATTTTTACGCCCTACCGCTACACGACAGGAAACCACGAGGAAGGATCTACTCTACTCAAATCCGCCGGGATACGCGACTACCAGAGAAAGCTAGGATGCCTTCTCTTCGCAGCTGTTACCTGTCGCCCCGACCTCTCATACTCCGCAAGCCAGCTCGCCACTCATCTCAAGAGGCCTGAAGCAAAACACATGGCCGAACTCGACCGTGCTCTACACTATCTCGTCAGTACGCCAACGATCGGCTTAACATATTACAAGAACGCGACCACGCCGCCTAAGCTAATCGGTTACGTCGACGCAGATTACGCGGGCAACTCCGATAACAGACGATCGCGCACCGGCTACATCTATCGCTTCGCCCATCTCCTGGCAATCGAGCAAGCAGGAACTAATTGCTCTTTCGTCAACCGAAGCAGAATATATTGCACTCTGCTCAACCACCAAGGAAGGACTCTATCTTCGCGAGCTGTTGGAAGAAGCGAAGTTAGCTGAGTTACCCAACTTTACCCTGTTCTGCGACAACCAGTCAGCAATTCGCATCGCCAACAAAAACGGTTTTGCGAACAGGACGAAACACATCGCCCTGCGATACTTCTTCGTGAAGGACGAGATCGAGAAGGGAAGACTCAAGCTGTCATACTGCCCCACGTCTGAGATGGCAGCTGACTACTTGACCAAGAAGCTCGGAAAGCATAAGTTCGAATACTGCATGCTGCTGACTGGACAAAGCCACGTCAATGACACTCCAGAAGCGAAGGGGAGTGTTGGAAACAATCAGTGTTAAGCGCTCCTGTCGTGTCGAAACACTAAGGCACAAGCGAAGTACTGCATACCGAGGCACCAGCGAGTCAACTCTCGGAGGTTGAAGTAACCGCTGGAGGTTACGCGAAAGTCAAAGGTCAGCGACCTTTTACCTGACAAATACAGTGCGACAGCAAGGACACACAACTGACTCGTTACAGAGCAGTTGCCCGAGTCGTCACTGTATCGAACCGCAACAGCAACAGTAAAACAGGTATTAACTGTATCCCTTCGTATTCCTTGTACTCTTATATAAAACCTTGTACTTGCTTGTTTTAATTAACTTACTTTGCTCTCACATACTAGCACAAGGTGGTTCAGAATCTCCTTAAACGCTTCCGCTACTACATCACTCTACCTAGAGCTTAACCCTACCAAAGATCCTAAGGGGCATCTCGGCCCAACAGGTAGAAGGGTCACTTTCTGACAGCCCACAGATGACTCCAGGCTGGCAGCACGAGACTGTCAAATGTTGTAGCCTGTAGTGAGGTTTGTCTTAGGGGGTACAGAAGTTAGGGTTTGTCATATGTACCCCAACCAACATCAATGCAACACTCATTCCTCATTCTGACATGGTATCAGCTAGGTTAGGATCCTGTGGGATCCCGTTCCTCCGTTCTCCGTTCGTACCTCCCGAGCCTGATCCTACCTCTCGTTCGTACCAGTTTCGTAGTTACCGCGCCTAGTACCGAGCCTAGCGTCATCTCCCCCGTCGCGTCGCGCCCGTTCCCCCCCGTCCCGTCGCCCTGTCCCGTCGCGTCGCCCTGTCCCGTCGCCCTGTCCCGTCGCCCTGTCCCGTCGCGTCGCCCTGTCCCGTCGCGTCGCCCTGCCCTGTCCCGTCGCGTCGCCCTGCCCTGTCCCGTCGCCCTGTCCCGTCGCGTCGCCCTACCCCGTCGCGTCGCCCTGCCCTGTCCCGTCGCCCTGCTCCGTCGCGCCGCCCTGCCCCGTCGCGTAGCCCTGTCCCGTCGCGTCGCCCTGCCCCGTCGCGTCGCCCTGACCTTTCCCCCGTCGCGTCGCCCTCCCTAGGCCCTGGCCTGTCGCCCTTCCTAGGCCCTGGCCCGTCGCCCTACCCTAGGCCCTGGCCCGTTGCCCTACCCTACGTCTTGGCCCGTCGTCCTAGCCCACTCTTCCGCTGCGACTGAGTCCTCTTCCCCCCCCGGTTGTTACTCGCCTGTTCGTTCTCACTATGGCGA